GTATACCTTGTGTCGTAGTTAACTGTGGCGTTGATTTTAGCCTGGATTCTCGACTGATATAAAATAGGTACCTTTCTGGATTTATTGTGTGTGTTGTGGTCCTCCCAAACCATAGTATTAAATGTAAAACTTTGATGTTAATGTTGGTTCATTAGAAAACCTTGAATTTAATATGAAGGGTTTTTTTGTTGTTTTTTTTTTTCTTTTTTTTTTTGCATTTGGAAACGTATTAATATAGCTTGCTTCCGAATCCATATAATGTATGGTATATCACATTATATTTTAATAAATACTGTTTAAATCAGCCAGAAAGACCACCAACAATTTTATCTGAATAAGTATTCAACGTTTTTTTTTTGTGACTATGTTGAAGTGATGGTCGTTATTCATTTTTGAAGTTTGCACAGTACGTTCCGCGCACATGTATTTTTATGGATTTGTTCAAAAAGACAACGTTTTAAATTCACATACAATATGAGTATGTTTGTTTTCCATAGGCCACATTAGGTTCAATAAAAAGCATCCCATTTACATAATGAATGGCTACAATATGGACAGTTTACAGAATCACAATCGATCAAAATGCGTTTTATTACCCTACGAATTCGTGAAAAGGCTGCTAATTTTTTTTTCTATCTTAATGGTCTTTAAAAACGTGTATTGTTCGCAAAACTCGGATTTCATAATTTGATGTATTTATTTTGTTTCAGACATTTCTACATTAATACACAAACAAAATAAATCTCGTAAAAAAAAAAATCCGAATTACTTTTTATATCTCGAAACTAAAATTTAAACATATACAGATCTTGGCCAATCACTGTGCACCCAAGCACTTCTCATATTTTGGTTCTTCTTCGGGGCGGGGGATTGGGGGAGACGACGCCCCTTAGAACCAGCCCAAGGCACCGCCAATTCAAGTACGATCGACTTCAAACTTTGGACGCTTGTTCCTTAGGTTTTATGACAATTTCAAGATGGCGGCGATAACGTCATGTTTAGTTCCTGGCCTATATAGTGCTTTCGTACTCGTTAATTTTTTTTATGTTTATTCTCAGAATCATGTAAATACGAAATGTAGAATAGATAACACCGCTAATTCTTGTAGGTGATATAATCACATAACCATCAGTCATAGTGCATTGTTTGATATTTACCATACGTCTCCATTATTAATTATTATATGAAATATGATGTTTTTAAAAAAAATATATTCTCATAGCAATCCATCAAACAAAATGAATAACAGGGTATATCGATTAATTTGCCGATATGATACGAATGCTTTTGTATCTAGACTGTATATGTAATGGCTTAGTTATGTCCATATTATCTAATTTACTTAATTGAATTCTGTAGAGTCATTGCAAGCCAGAAACTAAGATTCCTATAGAATTGAAACTTACGGACGAAGATAATAGCATTTGTATATGTCCCTTGATTGGGAAGATTGGTTTTTAGTTCATTTGTTAGAATAGCAATGCTACATCTGTGTGTTTGTATATAATAGAAGAACATTTAAACAGGAAATAAAGGACACAACCACTGTGTTTAATAATATGCATCACCCGTCTAATTAGCAGGATCAATATCAATATCAATATCATTATCAATAGCATTAAATATTAATATCCATTTGTAATGTAAAGTATACCCCATCCGTGTAGGTAGCATACATCTGATAGACAGATATACAAAATAATACAATATACATATTTAAGCATTGTTGATATAAAAGACCCCAACCCCCACCCACCGGCCCGCCATCTTCCCCTCTACACCCCCCCCCTTTAAACCCCCACCCCACACTCAACTCAAACCAATACACAGAAACAATATGGAGGAACAGTGAAGGTGGTTGAAGAAGTAGGAAATGAATAGTGTTAACTTCTCTTCATTAAAGATACATTATGGGAGATTAGATGAAGAGCTAGAAGTTCTTACTATAATAGTTAAAAACTAGATAATGTAAAGAGAATTTGTTGAAAATTTCATTCATATTGAGCCACTCTGAACCGAGAATTTAGCGATTGAATTTCAGGCCTACCCTCGATCATCATTACTATTGTCGGTACGATAAAAACTTAATCTCGATTATCCATTTTTTATTTAATCATCAATGAGTAAATATCGCAGGCTAGCGATGATATCGAGAGTTGATTATGGTCTGGATATGTTCATTAATGTCTAATTAATAATTTACATAACATTTCAGGCCTAAAGAGATATCTCCAATTAACAGATTTAGCTCTTGCATAATCTATGTATAACTTATGTTATTTAAAGACTTATAATACACTATATATGTCTAACAATGCCAAATACTTCCATAATATTTCATGAAGATAAGCATGTTAGTGAATGGTTTGATACATCATAAGGATAACAAAAGATGGTGGAAAACATTCTGATGACGATGAGACATTCAAATGTTAATCAGAATCCCCTTTCTTTTATACTCTTTGAACTATTTGAAAAAAAAAACCTCATTAGATGAAAATAGTTCTCGAGTTGAAATATTTAAATTGATCCCAAAACTTTGTGAAGAAAAAAAAAAAACATTTTATAATACAAGTAGAAAACGTCGTCTTATCACAAGAATAGAAAATCCTCGTTTCATTGCATTAGAAATACCCCGTATTATTAACAGCGCAGAAATATAACGTGTCATAAGAAAAATAAATTATTAGTATGTATCCGGAAGGCAAGATTTCGTGACGATGCCATCAGAAGAAGAGATTTATTTATGCCATTAAAATAATATGTACTCAAAATAAAAGGGGACACTAATTATGTAATTAGTAAATAAATAAACATACCAATTGATAATCCTGACAAAGGCAATTACACAATGTCTGCATTTTGTATCCAAAACAATATAGAAATTTAGTTACGTCAGACTGTTATATTAACGTTTATTTTATATCAAAATTTATACAGACGACAGATTATTTAGTAACATAACATTAATATTACAATCAGACTTTATTGCTGTCATAATTTTGTTTTGAGTTGACAGATCTAAATATTAGTAGACATAATAGCGATATCATTTTCATCTGGAGATTAACAACAGGAAGTGAATGAGTAACCAATGATAAACGAGGAAACTGTCAACTTCTGGTTTTCCTTTCGAACAATGACGATGTATAATCACACTCTTCTCTTTTAAACCAACACGAATTCTTTCCTGCAATTAAAATTAGGGTATTCATAACGTTTCCTTCAGAAGTATATGGCTTCAATTTGTATTACATACCCCAGTTGTGTCTTTCGGTTGAAGATCCAATAAGATTAGAACGTAATGGGTTTAACTTCTCGTCTGTTTACTTCGTGGAAGTTTGTCAAAACAGCGGCGTTTCAGCCCAGTCTATTACCAATTTATTGACGGAGCCTCGGTTTCTGTACCACTCGAGCGAAGTGTTAGACTTTTGTTCCTAGTCCCGATGCAATAACTGAAAAAGCTGCAAGTCCTTCAGATCTAAAAGGAAATACACACGCCCTCTGTATGTTAATAAAACATTAAAAAAAAAACCACATTATTTCTGAACTACATGTAGTTTAAACCTGGCAGTTAGTTCCTCAATAACCGTAAGCCGAGGGAAATCGATACCACATTCTTTAGAGTAGGGTTATCATTTCAAAAATGACTTTTTTTTGGATTATTGAACTTGCTACTTTAATTGCTGGTTTGAAGCAAGATTTTTTTCTGGGGATATCTAAATTATTATTTACAAACGCATCATTATAGTGTTTGAAGTACGAAATATCACAGAACTAGGGGAGTATGTGTGTGAGGTAAAGTTCAGCTCAGATGCGAGTGCAATAGAAACTAAATTTTAAACGTTATTTCCAGGAGATCTACTACCTGTCCCTTTACTTCACCTATTGCTAAAAAAATCTTCTGATTTCTGAATTTAAATAAAACTAAAACCTAAAAATTGGAGAACTTCAATCTTTGATAAACATATTTATAGACGTCCTGCTGTTCTGCTCGATAATCGAATGTACTAGTTTTGATGAGTTTTATTAATGTATATGTATAACTGTGTCTACCAGTTTTGATGAATTATATCAATCTAAATTTAAAGACGTTTGTACTAATAGATATAGAGAATCTCCTACCAGTCTTTTTTGATATCAAAAAATATCAACACAAGTTGATAAAGTAACCGAAAACGAGGCTCTGCCGAGTTTTTTTTACTTTATCAACGAGTGTTGATATTTTTTGATATCAAAAAAGACGAGTAGGAGATTTTATTTATCACCCAATGCCTTCTTACATGCACAAATAGATAAATATAATTCTTTACTGTAGATTTCACTTTTAATGAACATTACGGCGTAGTGATACGTCATTTTTTGACAGCAATTCAACCATTGCAAAGTCCTTTATATTGACCCAATGTTTCCGTCAATAAGGTCAATTGAATAACAATAGTTCATTTTTAATAAAAAGAAAAGTTACTTTTAATAAGAAATGAACTGTTCTTTGAAAATAAAAAAGTAGTTCCTTTTCAACTGACCAATCAAATTCATGTATCACACAAGCGATATCTACTGTAGAATGTATTATTGGGTGATAAATGTGTATTAGTTTTAATGAGCCATATTTATATATATATTTATAGATGTATTAGTTTTAGTGAGTTACATCTTTGTATATTGATATGTGTGTTTATTTGATGAGTTATATTTATGCATATTTATAGATGTTTGTATATAGTTAAAAAGTTATATCTATACATATTTATAGATGTGCGTATTAGACCTAATGAGATATATTTGTACATATTTATAGGTATATGTACTAATGATTTATATTTATGTATATTCATAGATGTGTGTATTAAATTTAATGAGTTATATTTATGTATATTTATAAATGTGTGTACAATGAGTTATATTTATGTATATTTATTAGATGTGTGTATTAGATTTAAAGTTATATTTATGTATAGATATGTGTACTAACGATTTATATATATGTATATTTATAGATGTGTGTACTAGTGGGGATATGGAAACACAGATAGAACAAGCTGGTACAGATAGCGACAGTGAGGATTCAGATGGTGATTTATCGGACAGTATTTGTGGTAGGTTTACATGTAGGTTTTTATTCCATATTTCTTTCAATTCTAATTTGCTACATTGTTATTTATCAAAGTGCAGTTATCACCCTCAATCCCATTATTCACGGAACCCATTTGCCGAGTTATCACGATAACTATACAAATATTTTATTTGATTATCTAAAACTTGTTTTTCGTTCGTTGTAAAATTGCTATAAATACGTATCCCATAAAACGTGAAGTAAAATATTTTAAACGATACAGGCGAAGGAAAAAGGAAAGAGGTGTTCCGAAATGTCAAGCAGATGGCCCTAGGTTTTTTATTTCCCAAACCATATATCAATCTGGCCAAACGTTTTGACACAATCATATAGACGATTGACGTTTTGTACGCATTATTTTAATGATAACCAACCCTCTCTCATCCGCCTACAGACAATGTTCTAGAGTCACTTAAGAAGTTAGATCCCCGGATGTTAGGTCACTTATCAGCCAACGCAAAGTCATACAAAATTGTTAACATGCCAAACTGCCAGACTATCATATCAAGATAATTGTTTGATAGTCCCTTGTCTCATGGAATTATATCAGTCAAATTGCCTTTTCAGAAAATCTTTATTTATTCGTGTCTTCTGTCGAATTATGACCATTTCCAGTATGACCATTTAGTTTGGCTCTCTTTCTTTGATGAGCGTTTAAAGATACATCCCCACGAAAGTATCTATGTGTTGATCTAATGGCTAACGGTTGTGAGACCATTGAGGGACTTATACGCCCAGTAGTTTCCCCGATTAAACGACGAGAAACCTGACAGAGGCTAACCCAAGAATTGATTTATGGTAAATGGACGGCGACTAACGACAAATACAAGATAAATGGGTTCTCCCTCAATCATGTCACGTGATAAACAAGGGTGATTAATTAAAGTAGATTCTTGCGACTTTGGGTAGTTTTTAGCGGTATTTGAACCAAACGTTTTTAGTTCAAATCTATCATCAAATCGCACAATTTGTACACGGGAAGTCATCTTTATGTATAATTATTATTGTGATTTACTTTAAGCACACAGGTTTTGCCATGCTGCACACATGGAACTATCTAGTTTAGTACACTGATGTTGCGTTTGAATTATCTCGCGTTTACAGTGCTTATTACGAGTCCATTTCCATTTATGTGAACTCTGTCAGAATAATTTTCAATCTGAATAAAACAGAGATACTGTTTCATTTCGTTTTTAAAGTTCAAAATTTCGTTTTATGTGTCTTTATTACTATGGATCTGGAAGAGTTGTTATATGAACCGCGTTCTGGTTGATGTGAGGGACTAGCCAATGAAACGGTCTGTTGCGGCGAGTGTAGCACCATAGGTCTTTTGTCTGACATGGAGAGCGGGGAGCGGGGTGGGAAAACCGGTCGCCACATCCTAAATACGACCCATGCATCTTTTCTTACTACATATTTCTGTAGCCTTGTGATCGTCTAGAATTTGTCTCTAGCCCTCTTTACTTCTGTTTCACGTTGTGTTTGCTTCTTACTGGTTTCTCAAGACGTTTGTCTTACCAGGAATAACAATGCAACAGTTCGCTTCTACATTTTATATATAGCCGAATACATGTATACAAGCATAATATATACCAATACAAGCTATAACCGTTTCTCAACCCTAGCCAGCCTCGCGGCTGTCTAGGAACTCAGATGGAACCTCTCAGGAATCTAATGGAAGTCTAACTTAAAACTTTACTATGATTTCTTTTATAAGACTCCTGCATATCACGCACAGAAAGCCTGTTCATAGCCCTGAACCTGTGCAATTAACGATATGATTGGTTACTTTATACCCAATGACGCAATTAGAATAATTCCACTCACGTGTAATTTGGTGGTATTTTATTGACACATGATTTGGCTAAATAGCTCTTTTTATGTGTCAACTGTCAATTACAGACTAAGTTGATTTAGTACACACTATATATAATATATATGTGAATATGTGTGAAACTATTAATTTGCCAAATATATTAATTAATGAAATATAAAGTCATCTTATTTCTCTATTCTTTGTCTATAAATTTAAAAACAATGTCGCAACTACGATAGTGCTACACGAGTTCTTGGCGTGCGGTGCGCGGAACTGTGGGTATCCCACTAGAAACATTAACGCTGATTGGTTAATCAGCAAAAGCCAAATTTACCGATGGGAGTATCGGTGTTAGCTCCAGATGCATCCAAGCATGAAATTTGACTTGATATCAGCACTAATAAACGCTGAGCTTTTATTAGGCCAGTCATGAAAATTCCCTTGAGAGCAGCTGAATACAGATTCTACTGTAGGTCTGCTCAGGAGAGACTTAATTGGACGATAAAAACAGACACGCTCCATCAAAACCCCAATTTTTCGCAGTCATTACAGCAATGAATAGAGGGAGATATCTCGGTCATTGCTTCAGGAATATGGTCTGGTGAATGAGTTTAAATGTTGATTGGATATTACCAGTAATATTTCGTAATATAACAAAAATCTTGAATGTTTATTTTTAGATTGGAGTGAGGATGTTAAAGAAAGTTCCGACACTGATGAAGATAAGTCTGAAGATGAAACGGTTGGGTTGCTTTAAGATGATTATTAATCCTCCCCTCAGATTTTGTGAATTACGAAATGTATCGAAAGCTTCCTTATACATATATATTTGCAATATACGAATGAATTATGTTATAAACATCGTACATTTTGTTTTAATACAAGGACTTTACTTTGTAATTAACCATCACACAAGATTATCATAAGTAACTGATTATTTAAATTTCGATTTAACATCAGCAAATCAACAAGTATTCATAATAAAATGAAATAAAATATAACCAATAAACTGTGTGTATGATATGGACATCCATACCAACAATTTGTGAAAGTGGCCCAACGTCATGATTATGTGAAGTGATTCGACAACTGAAAACCAGTGTTTTTTGATATATCAGAAACAGGAATATATCATGACAAGAGTTAATGCCCCTGTTTTGATGTGATAATGTGATGTGACAAACTGTTGGTAAACAAAATGACTTTACATAAACACTGGTTCATTTTTAAACAGAGACACACATCATTTCCATTACAATAGTGCATAATTAATTAACTAATTATGTGAATTTTTGCTCGATACCATAGCTGAAAATGTTCATGGATTAAGCTACATTCTACCTAGTCTAACTTTTGTGCCAAAATAGTAGTATTATATTCCTTTTAACAAGCTAGTCTGTTTTCATCTAACGAACTTGTTTTATGTTTCTATGTAACGAAGTTGTTTTTGTGTACATGCTTATCACGGTAGTGAATTTTGTTTTGGTCCTAATTTTATTGTAATTTAATTTCATAGACATTTTAAATTTTCAAGATATTCAGCAAAGTGTTTAACAAAATAACTATCGACACAAACTATATGTGTTCATGTTTTGGTAAGTTCTTCCTTTGAAGTAGATTCTTTCTCTCAGTGCCGTTCACTGCGTTTGCCGATTCACTGCACTCTTTATACATTAATGGCCTTGGTCAATCACGATAGACCATCCCCCACCACCACTGATATGACTCTTGTTTAAAACACCCGATGCCAAATCGGGGTTGAATGGTTCATTTCTAGTTTTTGTAGCATAAAAACTATTGTTCTTGTTCAGATTTTTAATATTCTTTTTTCCCGCGTTTTTGGAAATAGTACATATTCTACAGAAATAAACTCTATACTATCCGAAAAGTATTTAGTTCATAAGGTATATGAATAAATAAAACTTTAGAAATGTTATCTGGAAATGACGTCATCAACGCAATTAGACAATTAATGTGAGACACCAAAGGAAACATTTTTGTTTTTCAAGCAATTTGAATGCGGTTTTCGCCAATTTGTAACTGTTTGTATTTCTCAACTTTTATTGTCAAACATTGTGTCCCCTACGACGCATGCGTATGACCTAATGTTAAGCTCAAATGTGAAAAGTGTGAAAATTCTGAGGGTAACTTTTTTATTTTGGAAGATTTTGACTTGAAACTTTCATAATACATTACAAATCTTTAGATTAAGCCTTGTTTGATTATCTCGTCTATTAACTTTTTAAAGTAATCCCATCAATTTAAAATTGACCGGAAGTGTCACCATTTTGAAAACATAGGTCAATCTTTAAAATTCTACTCGCCCTACAATTCTTATCTGATTTTCAATATCTTTATAATTTTGGAAAGCAATTGATTGTAGTATTAGAAGTTTGATTTTTGACCTATACTTTTTTTTTAAAGTGACGTCATAAAATTGAAGTTTTAAAGTAAAACGATTGTATCATACTTAGAAGATTTGCAGGTGTCGCTAAGAACATTAGAGCCCTTTTGAAAGTCTATTCTTACTTTTATTTTTCAAAAGAGCCGCGGTGGCTCAGTGAGTAAGTCGCTGCCTCGCTAACTAGAAGGTTCGCTACCAGTATTGCCCTTGACAGTTCCTCGTGGTTTCCTCATGTCCGTGGTGCAGATTGGAGGGCCTGACAAGGTACAATGTTCAGTTGTTCAGATGGGACAAAAATTGCGGTCCCGTGTACACATAGCCGTGCAACAAAAAGAACCCTTGGCAGTTTTAATTCGAAATACGAGTAGACCACCAATTTCTATCCGATTTTAAAAACGGTTTAAATATATCACCGTTACACCATAATGCATAATGATGTTTGAGGTTGAATTTCGTAAAACTCGTATAGAAACTTCCCGACAGAATGGCCGCTCGCTCTTTGTACGCAAATAGTGTAAAAGTATGTAATACCAAGATTGTGGAAGCTCTAGATGTCACAATTTTTATCTGATTATGATGAAACTTAAAATACCTTTATATCCCGAAGATCTAGTTTCCTGTAGATTCACGCATATTGGGCCGTAACATCCTGGATTATGCCCCCAATTTGTTCAAAAAATCGGTTGGGGGGGGGGGCTGCTTTTTTTTTGCTTTTTGAGCTTGTCCCCTGCCAATCTCTTGAAAAATATGGGCGTATCTTGCATGGCAACCGCTTGTTTGAAAAAGGTCAAACTTTGAAATCGGGTGAAATGTTGATGGTAAACGATTAACTAAGCCATTTGGTGTTTATTCTGAAAGTTTAGGGACTTTTTGACAGATTTCAATAATCCCTTTTTTCTTTAATATTCTTGAAAAATAAACCAGGACAACAAAACATATTAATCTGCTAGATGTTGAGATTAATGTTTAAGTGTATAATTGGGTTGTAAAAAACTATCAAACCTGTTTCGAGAACAGGGCCCTTATTCACAAAAACTTAAACTAAAATACAATCGAAATTTTAAGAAATACTGCAATTCGATTGGCTGACCAGTAAAATCAATTTGCATATATCCAATGAAGTTGCAGTATTTCTTAAAATTTCAGTTGTAACTTAGTTTAAGTTTTCGTGAATAAGGGCCCAGGTCTAGTTGTTTTTACTTTTGCATGATATAACAGCTTCACATCCGGGTCAGAGGTCAACCATGGCAAATATATTTATGTTAGAATAAAATTCTTCGTCTTTAGGCGGGTTGGATGGCCGAATGGTTAGCGCGTGCAGGCTGCATTATAAGGTCTGTCATTGAGTCAACTAGCGTGGTTTCGATCCCCCGGTTGTACGTGACAAGGAGTAGGGTCACCTGTCCAACCTCGTGGGTTTTCTCCGGGTCCTCCGGTATCCTCCCTCTGCTAAAGACCCCTACGCGCATGTAAATTATTGAAATAAATTGAACTATATGTTAGTCCCAACATGACCTAGTCTCTCTCTCTCTCTCTCTCTCTCTCTCTTCGTCTTTATAGGAATTAACATACTCCTCAAATTCTCCTGTCATAAGATCGTTCTTTTCTTTAATACAAAATAGTGAATGATATGATATTCGGTAGATAACCTAATCTACCACAGACCTATTCTATTAATTTAATAGTCATACATCGTTTATTATGGCTATTTTAGGAAATTCTACATATTGTGTACAACTGGTCGATTTTCCGGGGAAAAATTATGTATGCTGTAAAATGCACGGATCATTAATTTACTACATGATTAAATAGCAATTAGCTTATAAAAAGGGAGGGTAGGAAATGTTAGAAATACAGAGTAAGTCCGCCAAATTGCTATTTTATGCTGGTTTCGATTATTTGTAATTATTTAATAAAAGCGATCCTCATTTCCATATATGCGATTTTCTAGAAAACCAAGAATAATAACACATCCCAGCTATGTAATTTCCCCGGAGAACCTATTAGGAAAAATAGAAGTCTAGCTTTGGGCGAGATGACCTCGACAAAACGGATTAGTAATACATCATTAGTCCAGTAGAAACATATAAATAGGTAGAAGGGGAGAACATGGGACAAAAATAAACCTCTACGTGTAAAAATGATATGTCTGGAGTAACACAGCCATGGTTATCGAAGAAAGGAAAATGAGCTATGAGTTTTGTTAGATGAACGAGTTTCTCGGGTTTCTAGACGCTTTCCAAATTAGTCACAATAATAATAGACTAAGCATTGCAAATAAGAAAATAGAGTGTGTGAAATGAGTATATAATTGAAGACTGTAAAATTCTAGTCTGTGATATAATGAATAAACATGAAGAAGGTTCGAAATACATTACACAACGAGATTGTTCCTGCTTTATACGATGTGTTTACTTGCCGTTAAAGTAATTGTGCGTGTTTTGGACTTTTTATATTTTTTTGTGGAAAATACCAAATTTCTCACGGCTTAACCCACGCTAATATGTACTCAGATTGATTATGTCACGGCACGGTAATCTCCCAGCTTGAATTCAATCGAATTAAAAACATGCGATACATAAAAACGGCGGTGGGCGTGTTATAATATCATGACGTCACCCGACAATAAAAAAAACACTTGCAGATTGCAAAATGGTGAAAAGTTCAGCCAATCTGTTCACAACGGTAACGCGAAAGCCTTCTCTTAACTGCATACAAGACGACTATAGTTCTACGCTCGAGGATTATACACGTCATAATTAATTGAGACAACGGTGAGGAAAAGGAAAACAATGAACAGCTCATTAAAAGTTCTAAATTAATTTTTAAATTACATATTTTACATTTGTCACCTAAAAATGTGGAAATAGCCTGTATATTTTAATAAGCTAACGTCGGTTATTTTTGAATCCTGAAAACTAGACAGATACATTTGACTAAAAGCAGAGCAATTCGTGCACATCTTTACAATGCCAATGTATTATGGTCAACACATTCTGAAAATTCTACATTACAAATTTATTGTGGCATGCAAGGACATTGTAAAAATCAAATATAAACATTAAAAAGGGTATATTTCCCGACCCCAAACCTCTTGTGGTTTGTAGCTTTACAAAAATTCTGAACAGACGCATAATTCACGGGAAACAATTCTGATGATCAGCATAGATAAGGGATATCTTTAAAGGTTCTTTTTTTATCCACTTTGGTCCAAAACCGCAACTGTCACATGATTTAATTCATTTACAACTTACTTTTTAAGCAAAGGTAATAAATATGTGAACAATCATCGAAATGATTAAATAGGCCACATCCTTAGGACCTAAAAATAGTTCTGAGTTCATTCAGTGGCTTGGATATCTGCAAATATTTAGAAACCGAATGTCCGAAGCAAGGGCAATAACTCTTGTCTACAAAAATTGTGAAGACTACGTTTGAAGTTCAACGTTCATCTAGCGGACATCTTTAAATTTGTATTGACATTTGGCACCTAGTGCATAATAGTCCAGTCGATCTACGTTAAATTTAGGGCAACCTAGAACAAATTGCAACAGACGGTTTCTTGGTACCGTTGTGTCTAATTTGCACGAATTCACCAAATGTACCTTTAATATTGAGTTTTCGCCGTCTAAATCTTTACAGATCGGTAACATGACACCCGGGAGTCAGAATATCTAGTTAGACATTAACATAAATCAACCCCATGCCGTCATCACGCCTTATTTTGATGTCCGCATACATTTTTCAACAAAACTGGCTCAGCCTCCAGGAAATTGAAACGTAAATAATAACTCGAGTATTAAATTACAGTTCATTCCTGAATTATCCCATTTATTGTAGTCTATTGCATGTCCCAAATAGGGTTAATCTTATTCAAGTTCGAACTCTTCTTCCTCCTGCACAGCACGTGAAACCATTACATTTGCTGTCTGAATCAGTACACTCTAAACTGTGTCGCTTACTGGTGCACTTTGCTGTGTCACGTTCTACTTTACAGCCACATTAGATGCTTTTGAGGATTGTCACTGGAGCTGGTACGGCGTCAATCGTTGTGGGCTCTAATTTTTCTGTCTAAAGACTCTATCCCTACTTTTCTGGGTTTAATTCACCGCCCCTCCCATCCACAACTGCAACTGATAGTACACACGAAAACCATAATACTTTTCAACAC